GCTTCTTTGCCCGCGCCGGAGGGCAGATCGTATCCGGCGGCTCTCGGGAACCTGAGAGAGCTGTTGGTGAGCCTGCGGGCTGTCTTCCTTTGGGACAAACGGACTCGCGGGTAACTTCTTGCAAACCCGGGAGAACAGTTCAACCGGAGTAAGCTGTAGACGCGCCCTAGTAACGTGAGCGATAAGGGGCAGTGAGGTAGGAGGATAGTTTCTCGAAAGGATAATGGGTAGAACAACTTAATTTGGCACGTGATCTGCTGACTACACATCAAATATGCAGCCCAGTTCATTTTTTGTTTCTTTGACATCTTCGTTCCAGACTAACACGGATAGGGATATATCTAGGAGTCTGAGTTTTTGGTTATTAATACCTGTTCCCTGGGGTTATAGTATGTTAAACATAGGTGCCTGTTGTGTTGATATTTCTGTAGCGGAAGGGTTAACACAGGGATTTGTTTTCCCTGGGCATTTAACACGTGATAGGCATGCTATCTGTTTTGTTTTTTAGTAGAAATAGCACTTCAGTATTTTGTAAGTATGTAATCAAAAAAGATGCCACAGAAATTCAGCTGGTGTCAAACAGCTAGACTTCAATGTGGTGTTTTTTGTTGTTTGTTTGGTTTTTTTTTTTTTTGCTTCAGACACACTGCAACACAAAGTTCTAAACTACAACAAAGTCTTGTCTGCCTGATACAGTTGTTGCTGCTTTTTTGGTGAGAGAAGCTTTAGGGCCTTGTGGATGGAGTTATATGCATGTGTGCTCTATTGGAGTACTTTCTTGAGTAAAGTATAGTTTAAAAAAAAATTGTTAGCAGAATGAAGTGAATACCATATAGAACAAATGAACAGGAGTCTGTGGCAATAGAGCAACTGGTACAGTTTCTGGATGTAACATTGTCCTCTTCTGCTCTAATACATTGTTGATAAGTTGCAAAATGAAGAGTTTTGAAAATTTTCTTAATTTTGAAGAAATTAGTGGAATAGCGGCAATCTTAAAGGCATGTTAAATGCAGTGTGTGTATTTGGTCAGGATGGACTCTGCAGTAATCCTCTAATCATAGTGAATTGGGAACATGCATTTGACAGAGAGGAAGCTTTGTTACAAAATAACTGCTTAAAAGCCTGCTCATCAAAAATGATTTAAACTCCTTAAATGCTCTTACTTGCAGCATTATGCTCCTTGTGTAACTGCTTCCATTGGAAGATCATATTTCTTTTTATCATTCAGTGTGATCAGAGGAGAAAAAGATTATCAAAGGTAGACCTGACAATATAAATTCATAATCATGGTCTAAACGCGATAGTAGAACTTCTGGGATGTTATGTTGTTTCCTTCTGTATAGGGATGATTTGAAGCCTCTGTGAAACATTGATTCATAGGAGTGTTCATTTATAATGATTAAGAAGCAGAAGATGTGATACTACAATAAAAAGGTGGATACGTATGAGAGAGGTGACTCGACTTGCTACTTTGGGACACTATCGTGGAAGTTTAATATGAAAGCGTTAGTCTTTCTCAACTCTTCTTCATTCTGTAACGCTAAACTTTTAAATCCTGTTGTTGTTAACTTTTGGTCATGACTTAGACAGGAGCAGCCTCTTCACTTGTTTTTTTGACGTGTGTCTAAAGTTTTTGGGTCCATTCCTGGATGTTGTGTTGATAAGGTTTTTGTTTTGTTTGGTTGGTTTTTTTCTTTTTCCAAATACCTGGTTTCTAAATTGGATAATAAGACACAGTGAGCTGCAGTGGTTGTTTTTATCTGCCCCTTCCCCCACCTTTTCCAGTATATATATTTTTTTCTTATTCTGATTATGCATGAGGGGATGGCCTCTTCAGCTGGTGAAGAATTATCTCCACCATTTTTTTTTTTTTGATAATTTTACAGAATGGAATGTATTAACTCATAGGCATTAACTTTGACTTGCTATAAGTATACTAGTTTTGGCTAGTGTTAGCTAAGAACATAGTAGTCTAGTAAAGACTTACAGACAGATCTGTTAATTCCTTAAAAATCAGAAAGATGGGTGATGAAGAACACAGAAGTCTAGGTGTATTAAGATACTGGAGAGGTTTGTGTGGGCCCTATAAGATGGACACATCAAACACAATGTTCTACTTGTCTTGATGATTTCCGGTTATAAAGAATAATCTTTGGATATACAGGCATAAATTAAGGCACTAGTTTTTTTAGGTATGTTGTTGATAGGCTTATGTGTTTTGATGGTACATGCAATTCAGGTGTGAGTTAGGTACAAATGGAAGGTGAATGAGTATCTAATTTTTTAACTTCCTTTATGTCTGTCCTTTAAAAATCTGTTGGATAAAATCCTCTTATTTAATTTTCAGAACTTAGAATTTTGGTTCTTTTTGTATTTTACCAGGAAAACTATTAATTAAAAATCCAGTTTGCATGTGAGGAAAAAAAATTAAATGCTTGTTCAAGTCTAGGATCTCTAAAATAAAAGCAGTGACTTAATTTAGAAGATGAATTAACAAACAAACAATATAAGACCTTCTACAGTTGCACACGGATGCTGAAGGGGCCTTGCCAGTCAGAGGTATTGAATATCTCATGTGTAAAGTCGCTTGTTTTCTGAAACTTAGGCGTTTAAATGACTTTATTTTTGTACCTAGTTTAGAAACAACCAGCCAGTGATATATTCCTGAAACTTGATGAGGCTGTGATTAAAAAGTAATGCGAATGAGAAACTATTAAAAAATTATGTTGTCAGATATCAGTCTGTTTTACTATGTGCTTGTGTGATCCCGGTAATTATGTGCACAAATTGAGTAACTGGCACAGCAGTTATGTTGAGCTTGGAGTTAACTGAAAATTGAGCTACGTTTTTTGTAGTTACGGATGTCAGAATAGTCAGTGTGTCGAAATGAGCATTTCCCAACTCTTGGTCATAGGTGATACTAAGCAATGAGTAAACATCAATACCTTTATGAGTGCAAGATGTTATAAATTATTAATGGATGACAGTAACTGTAGTTCTTTGTAATTGTGTTCTGTTAGGGCCAGTGCAATCTACAGCAGGAGCAAAGACATTTTATAATTTAGTTATTTGGATGGAACTACCACTTAAGTAATGAACCGGTTTTAGTTCTCAATTACTACGGAATCACTATTTTCCTGATGCTTTTGTTATCTAAAAGTTGGGATGTTGTGAAGCTTAGTGTTTGTAAAATTTTGGGGATTGCCATCCTCTCATAACTTTACCACCAAATACCTTTTTTTCACCCTATTAATATCTTCCTGAGCCACAGTCCTTTTTACAATAATATTATGATCCATTTTGTACAGGATACTGTGGGAAGCCCAACCAAAATGACACAATTGTTTTAAAAAAAAAAAAAATCTGCAAGTTTTTAATGAATCAACTTTTTCTGCTGCTGAAATCACTTGAGGAATGTACTTCATTAGTTTAGATGCTATTTGCCAATAGTTTAGTGTTTCTTTATACAGTGTAAGTTGCTTTCCATTTTTATTGTGATAAGGTTTCTTCTACTTGGCTCAAATAAGGATGAGAGCTTGCATGTGGGGTTTCCACTACTTTCAGGGAAGAGTGGATATTTAAAATACTGAAAAGAATAGACTTGGTTTATTGAAGAATTGCTTAGCCTGGGTGTAAAAGAGAACAGAATGTTTTGAGAAAAGGTTTATTTTGAAATGTAATTTTGTGTCTGAAGGTATCATTCTTTGCTATTGAGCAGAACTTTTGGGAATAAAATGTGTTATGAGATGTAGAAGGATATTAGGACTTGAAAAAACAGATATTTATTTATGTATTTGGAGTACAATTGAGAGTAAAACTGATGTTTTGTGCAAATGAGACCTTATAAGTACACAAAGCATAGTGAAAAGATGACTTCTTTCACTTCTGTGAAATTTCTGTCTAGCCAACTGTTTTTCATCTTATTTGTGCTGATTATTTGTGGAAGTGAAATACTTCACGTTTTTCCTTATTTTATCCTATTTTGGACCATTTCCCCAATTTGTCATGAATGACTTAAGAACTCTGTAGCTTGGCATTATAGTCAATTTTTTGAAGAACTGAAGCTCATTAAGCTTCTCTGTTCCGTTATTTTTTTGCATACTTTGACAGGCGTTTTTCCAGTATCATAGCCTAGAGTATTCTATTCTTATTTATTCAATATATGTATCACCTAAGAGTAGGCTTAATAGGCATTCTTTTTCTTGATTCTTTGAAAACAGTTAAAGCTTTTCTTCCTCTACAGTCCATAAAATACATTTATTTTCCCCGCATAGAGCTGGAGGCATGAATCTATACTGGTACTGAGCTACTAGCATTCAACATCTCTGTGCTGAGTATCAGCTCCTGGAGCTCCTTTTTTGCTCCTCTCATCCATATCTCCCCTGCCATTTTTCAAGACTGTACATCCTACTTGTAGGTTTGGGATCCTCTGTGTTTTCCTTCCTTCCAGTGTCTTTTTATGATTTTGAGGAACTTTTCAATGGCCCAGATGTCTTTGAGAAGCGTTTCTCAAAATTCTAAGGATGTAAACTCAGTGTCTAATATTTGCTTTATTAGCTTTGGTAATGCTGAAACTTTTCATCTTTCCTCCCTACCTCTTGTTCCCTGGCATTTTTCCCACAGGAATTGAGTTTTTTCCTGACTGAAGCTCCTTCACTTCCGGTATGGAGATGAATCGAGGAAAACTGTGTACCAGTAAAGCTGATGCACGCTCAGAATCTGCTTATCATTGCTCAGCATGTCATGATGATGAGGAGTGGAGCAGTACTAGCCGGGGTCGAGCTAAGTCACGAAGCCTGTCTGCTTCACCAGCCCTAGGAAGCACCAAAGAATTCCGGTATGGCTCTTGTTTCTTCCTGCTGTGCTACCTTTAAGGGGAAAAAAAAAGGGTATATTGTAGTTATCATTGCTCTTTTTATATAACTGTAGTCCTGTCAATGAATTGATTAATTGATAATGAACAGAAAGAAAAATAGGATTTTGTTGTAATGAACGTGGAGAGAGATAATCAGTGAGCCATCATCTTAGTGTGGTGCGTGCTGTGAAAAGAACTTGAATGTCTGAACAAGCCCGCTAGGTGGTCATCACTAAATCCACATTCACGTAAATAGGTTCTAGTTAATAGTGAGGCCTTAGTTCTGCTTTAGTGTTTCTCACTAGATCTTGAGCTGTTTTTTAATACGTGTTTTGTCAGCAATCTACATGCGCATACAGCTTCAGCGATACAATGCCTTACTCATTCGCTTTGTGAGTGACATTTAAATGCTGTCTGAGATGAATATGTCAGAGCTAGGCTTCAAGAAAGTATTTACATTTAGAAAGGGCTATGTGAAACATAATAGACCCCTTTTTTGGAAGAGCAACTATACGTAAAACTCCTATCTGGAAACTCATGTGTTGAAATAGATTATTTCTAATAGTTTGTTAAGAAACTATGGATATATTTCCAGCTGAAGGAAGTTAATGAAATATAGAATCTGAGAAGGTTGTTGCCTGTAAACAGATAAATGCAAAATATTAATTTTCAGATTTGAGGAATCCATTGTGCCTAAGTATTCAACTTCCAAGGTCTCAGGATAGATTTCAGCTTTGAATGCTAAGAGGTATTTGTCATATTTCAACATAACCTCAGAAGTTCTAAGTACCTTACAGAAATAAAACACAAATGCTTCTGTACTGAAGGATATTAATTCAAAGCTTGATAGTAACTCAAGTTACAGGAAAAAACAGGTTTCTGCTTGGTTCCAGATTCTTGACAAGTTGGCAGAACTTTACCTCTTGGCTCAATGGGTTGCTTTTAAGGACTCCTTAAAATGCACTTCAGGTGGTCCCTAGTCCAAAATGAAGGAGGGAAGATACTAGGACCTAAACCATACCTGTAATCACAATGGCATGGCTGTCAAAACCAATATCTACAGAGTTCATAGTATCAGAAAGGAATCTATGAACATCAAAGATGCTCTAGCTAGAGCTCTAGTGCTGTATATGAGAAACCTGTATGGGAATGTAAGTTACTTCGTGCTGCCTCACATTACCACGTAAGTTTGTGCTTGCAGATCATATTGCAGAAACGCCCATTTTTTCTTCAGGCCAAATTGTTAATCTACTTGCAGTGCTTTGTCATGTGGACAACTTGGGTTCAACTTTTGATGTTGTGATCTTTGGACCTGTTGTAGCTATTAAATAGCATGCTTTGGTAGCAGTGTGTCTTGTTCTTGTGGGAAGTTTTATCAGCGCTTAGCACAACTATATTGTGACTGCCCACATGATTGAAGCACGGACAGAATCACGGAGGAGTTGCTTAACAGATGAAATTCTCTTCCATTCCTATTGCTTGGTGGGTAGGATTGTGGCTGCAATGCAGAACATACATGGATGAGAATCAAGATGGCAGGGGAAGCTTTATGGTGAAGGGGGAGGCATGATGTAAGTCTATCTTTAAAGAGACTAAAAGCTTAGAAAATTACTTTGCATATGTAGTTCAGAAAGTAGTGTACTTTAATGCTTTTGGGAAATGTTCACAAAGGACCATGCTCTGACTTTATTGATTCTAGCTACTAGGCTTTGCATCATAGCTAATAGGTAAGTGTTTGCATAAAAAGGTTGTTGTAAAACTGGTGGTGTGGGTTTTTTTTTTTTTCCCCTGCTTCCTCTCCACTTGAATCTTTAGGACTATAGACTTTAGTTAACCTGCATAAAAAGATGCTACTTTTTGAGACTGGAAATAATCTGCATAAACCTTATCCCTTGTGATTTTGAACTTTTTGAACTAGATCTATTGTTTACAAGGTTTTTTATTATTATTATTAAAATGCTCTCTATGCATTTGCTGGCTGTCTATCAATAAGTGAAAAACCTGTCCGAAGGTGTTGTGCAGAATGTCAGACTAAAAGTGTTCTCAGGCTTGCTTATAGTACTCAAATTGAAGTAGTTGCCTATCTGCTTTGCATTGGCAATTATATTTTCCTAAGAGATGTAAAATTTCCAGAGCATTACTCTTCATTCTTAGCAAAGACAGTCTTACAACAAACCACTTTAAATTCTTGTCACTCAAACATATTATCTTTGGTTGATCAAACAGTGCATAGACCGAGTTTTAATAGAAACAAAATAAATGCAAAACCATAACACAAATCTCTGTCAAATACTAAGCCGAGCCTCCAGAGAAAACTTATGTTTGAATGTTGTGTAGGTCACATGTGTATCTTTGCTCTTTGTAGGAGTAGAGATTAGCCAGTTACAGGGGGTGGCGTGGAATAAGGACTTCTCTTGAAAGAAGGCAAAAAAAGATAGTTACTGAGTGAGGCTTGAGTAGAGCAAGTGGGAAGTGATGTTGTCAGAGTATTATTTTATTATCCTACTTTCAAGTGTAATTGTTCTGAAGTAGACAGAGACTTACCATTCCTTTACACATACTGGTGTATACATTAATCTATGATAATGTAAGTCCTTGCTCATTTTTCTATTTTGCTATAAATAAGGGCAACTTTATAAAACACTTGCTAATAATCTCATCTGAATGGATTAGTCATGCCTGAATTTATAAATGAGGAAAGTTTTCTTTTGAAAAACAAATACCGTTTCTGTGTGAAATTAAATACTTGTTTTTATTATTTGAATGCAGTCTTACACAAGTGCATTTTCTTAGACATGGAACAAATAGAATGTTGCTGTTATTCTTTGGTTAGATTATATCTTCTTCACCTGACATCTGATTAAAATTTTAGTAGATTTTGGGGTGTTTTTTTTTTTCAGGACTAAGAGCGAACCTTGTTATTTTAACTGCTAAGTTTACCAGGCTGGTCTGAGTTACTTTACAGTGCGCGTGAACACAGGCAGTAAATAATGATTTGCTACGGACAAGCAATAGGTTAGTTAACACTTCCTGTGTTAATTGAATTAAGCGCAAGAAAGGCGTTATTTCCCACTTGTTTTTATTGTAATAGTTCTAATAGTATTTACCTGATGTTTAAACAATTACATGAGTTAGGTTTTTACTCCCATATATAGATTTGCTGAGGGAGGTGGGAGGTATTGTGAGGTTTCTTTGTAAATGCTTGTCAAGACTTGCACTAGACAGTCTAATTTTTACATGTTACTGTACCTTACTGAGATTAAGAATACTGCTTAAATAATTTTGCTTATATTAATACTGGATTTAATCAGTCTGCGTGTCCTGTTCTAAAATTGTGTTCTCTTAGATAAGATACAGTGTTTCAAGAAATACAGAAAATAAAGTGGTGAATGTGTGTGCAGCAGTAAAGCTGAAATCACCCAGGAATTGATCCAACTAATCCTTTACAACTATCTAATGACAGACAGCTAACAGTTGCTGCAGTTTTTTTGCTGAGAATGTGCCCTGAAGATAAAGGTCTTGCATTTAATTTTGTTTGTTTGCTTAGTTGTTTGGTTGTCTGTTGTCAATAGGAATTAATGCATGCCAAAACATTAAGGAAGAGAAAGTGCATTTACTGTAAACAAACAAAAAAGCAGGCTACTTTTTTGTAGTTTGAATAATTGACTGGGTACACTTCACTTGTTCAGTGAAGGTCGTGAAACTTCTGAACTACATAACAAAAGCTGAATGCTGCTGTTCTTTATTCAGCTGTGTTATTACTGAGATAGTTTGAGCTGCTTTCAAGCATTGTCACAAGTCTCTCATTTGATAATTTCTCAGTGTTATTTTATGACTACCCACAAAATCTGAGGTGTTCAGTTGCTTACTTGTTACGGACTTGAAGAGTTACGTACTTGTTTATGCTTTCTGCTGTAATTCTAAAAATAGCCAACATAATTGAGGAGTTGAAAAATGCACCCTTTAGCTATTTAAATTCCTTATTATTCTAGCTTAGGAAAAAGGTAAGCCTTTTTATTTAAGATTTACATATCTAATTCTGAAATAGGAATTATTTGGATTTTGTTTTTTAAACATTATATATATATATTTTTCCTTTGTGCAATAGTGAGACCTCAAAGCTAGTTTATATTTTTATAGTTCTATAGTCTAGGATTTATCTACAGAATTTTGTTGTTGTTGAATTTTTTACTATTGTGTGGCTCTCTGTCTTGGCTCAGACACACGTGTACTGTTCTGTATTGTAATGTCAGAAGAGAGTTAAGACTGAAAAGGCAGGCTAGACATGCATTCACAGAACCAACTTGAAACTTGACCATATCTTGTTTGAGGCTGTGATGCTTCCTTTGTGCAAAGTGAAGATTAAATGAGTTAGAAGAGTATGTGCCTTGTATTAGTGTTTAGGAATTAATTGCTCAGTATGCAGAGTGGATAAACTGGGAGTGAGGCTTGGGTTAAAATCATTAGGACTAGGTAGAAGAGTTACGATTTAGCTTTTTAATGTATGAGCTAATACACATAAAATTATATTGACTGGTCAACAGCAAATGCAGGTTTAGGAAATGTACTTTGCCCTGCATTGCCTAATGTGGCTTTTTCAAGGTGGCTTTGGTGGTTGGGGAGCTAATTGTATCCAGTTTGCCCTCACATTCTTTTACCTTTTTAATTTTTTTTCAGGAGGACACGCTCCTTGCATGGACCATGCCCAGTGACCACCTTTGGACCAAAGGCCTGTATGCTGCAAAATCCTAAAACGATCATGTAAGTACTTCATGTCAAATTAACAGTATTATGGTTATTCTAAGTGAAAAAAGTAACAGTTTGCTGTTACTCACCCCCCTAATCTGCACTTTTTGTATTTTACCTGATACTCAGAGATTTTTGTGTTGTTTGATTGCCATTGTGGGACCTGTATTGCAGAAAATGGCCTGTCATTTGAATCATACAGACTTTTTGAAAGGTCAGTCTGGGAGGAGAATGGATAGCATTGCTGAGAGGATTCTCAAGTAAAACCAAATTAAATGTGTATTAGCTTAATCTGTGGGTTGAAGAGTATGATATAAGTTTGAATGTCATTGTTTGTTTTCTTTTCCTCCCGGAGGATGATAGTATGCAATCAGTATTTCTCTGTGTAGGTATATAGTGGATTTTGCCAGCTGGAGTATTTCCTGCAGGGTAACAGATTTACAAGGGAATTAATTGTGATAATTCCTCCTTTAGTAATTCATCTGATGTTTTTAGGCCTACACTCTCCTACCTAAACTAATGGAGTATTCTTGCTGTTCGATATATAAACTTTGAAAAGAAAGTGAACAATTTCACTTAAAAATAGGGCAATAGGGCAGGGCATGCAAATAATATTAAGTACTTAAGTTTTGCTTAGGTATGTCCTGTGCAATCTGCAGTTCTTAGTTTAGTAAACTCTTTTCAACATAATTGACAGTAAACTCAGCATGTGCATTAAGAAAACACCCTTATAATCTGATAATGATGCAGAGAAGGCATTGGTAGCATTTTCTTTATTCCATTGACTTGAAATATATAAATATATATGTATGAGAACTGGTTTTCAGTGGCAGAGAAAAGGGTGAAAGAAGAAGAATTTTTATGGACAGCATGAGGAAAAATTGCTCTGTGCGCAGGGAAGTCTGAGAAGGTCTTTCCCTGTCTTTGTATAATGTGATTTAAGCTTGTAGTTTGAAATTTTTTATCCAATCTGTGGCACTTTCTGTGTATGAATATCATCTAGGCAAGTTTGCTTTAAGTCTATGTTGCTGGTAAATTTCATGTGGAATTAAGGGGAGGTTTCTATTCAGCAGCTGTGTAAGCATTTTAATTTTGTAGGTTGGGCAGCATAAAAGTATTATCTTTTATCAGCATGTATTATATGCTTAGTAAATGGTGTCTTGGTCAAACAAGGAATTAATAGGGTTCTTTAGATGCACAGGTACTACGAAGTTGGTTAATGTTCTTTTGAAAAGCTCTATCTTATTGCTCTGATTTTCTGTTAAAATTAAATGAACTTAAGGTATTTGGATAATACATTTATTTGCTTAGATCTTCACTTAAATAACAATAGTTTTCCTCAAAGCAGGTTGGTGATATTTTAACTTCTCCCACAAGGTGTGGCGGAAATCTTGAAGTGTTGGGGAACTCTCAACTTCCTCATGCTTTCTGTCCGTTCTTAAGTTAGTGGCTTGGTATGCTGAAGTTCATCTGACAACCTAGCTTGCGTTGTACATTTACCCACCTGTTTGTAATGAATATGCGCCTTCCCATGGGCTGAGACAGCATTGTACAATATACTGTTAGTGTCAAGATCAGTTCTGTACAGAGGCTATGGCAATACAGTATTCAGAGAAGACAGAATTCAGAATAGCTGGGGAAGTAGGGCATTTTCAGGTCTTAGAAGGAAAGGATTATTTGAAAACTAAATTGTAAATTACCGTTTGTGAGATTTTCTTGCTTCTTCTTGTTTCTTGTGGCTTTTAAAAACAAGCTAAATCTTCTTACTATTGCTTTTTCTTCTTGTCAGTCACTAATAATGTTAAACTCTTTTTCACTGAAGAGAATGTAACAGAAAATCCTAGTTTGTGTGTATGGGCATCAGTTAGTCATCGTCTTAGTGTCTCTTTGAGTGCTAATGGTGATGACTGTGTTGAAAAACCTACTTGTTGAAGGCTGTCCTGTAAAAGGACCAGAAGAGCAGAATGCCTCTTCAATTAGAAAAGAATTAAGTAGTTGTATTTTAGGCGGAGAGGCATGGTCAGTTACTTGTGTTTAAACTCTTTCTTGAAACAGGATTTTTTTTATGAAACACTGTTGTCTCTGAAGTTCTATAATACTCTTTTAGAAGGAATTTTTTTTGTAAAGCCTCACAACCTTTTACTGAGACTAATCAAAATACTTAACTGGAAATCAACTTCAGAGAAACATGCTTTCTTTGAGGTAGCAATTCAGTAAGAAGCATTGTAAGCCTCAGCCCATTTTGGAGCTCTGTTGCATTTGCCTGCCTGACTTCTGTAGACAAGCATGAAGATCTTACAGCATGTTATGAATAATTTCTCCTTTAGTAGTACTACATGGAATTGGTGAGTACAGTTGAAACAAACTGGCTTGAATAAATTCTGTGTTAGTTCTTGGATTTTTAAGTGAAAAGCAGTGCTGCAGTCTTTAGTTCTTTGCTAGCTTTACCAAGTAGACTGATTATGGTGAAATCTGTGTTTATGTGTGTGGGATATTTCTGTATGTGTATTTTCCTTTTTAACAGTATTGAGATCTGAGGAATTTAATTTTATTAAATGAACTTCAATATAGAAAACAGTATTCTTAGTCACCATCTATATAAAAAATGGCATATAAAACTTCAGCTTCTGTTCCTTTGCAATTGTTTGGCAACAATAAACATGTAAATGTTAAAAATGTTATTGGAAATCTTCTCCCCCTCCTTACTTTTTTTTTTTACTACCGGTTTAGCTGTTGGTTGGCAAGTGAAGTCAGGAGAAGCCTTCCATTGGCATTGCAATCTGAGATTCATAGTGACCAAAGACTTTATCTTAAAAAAAAAAAAAAAAAACCAAAACCAAAAAAACTCTGCTTTGAGCAGGGCGATTGGACTAGATGATCTCCAGAGGTTCCTTCCAACCTCAACTCAACCTCACTATTCTGTGATTCTGTGATAGTGAAATCCAATGAGGAGAAATTTAACATGATGTTGATAGCCTGTACACGATACTGAGTATAGAAATAACTGCATGTTTATACTGCTCTGTGTATGTAACAATATTTTGAGAGAGAGAGATGTGGTAATTTATGTTGGTGAAAGTGCTCAGTATTAGACTACTTCAATAGCCTATAATTTCTGCTATATTTGTATGTACAATATAGGCATTTAGATTTTTTTCTTGAAAGTAAAACGAGCAGATTGTTGTGTCATCTGCAGTAGTATCGTCTGTTTTCTTTTAACCCTTAGAGTGCTAAATCCAAATCTCTTTATAAATTTGGCTTGTACAGCGTTTATACTAATCTGCTTTGCTTTGTAGATTATCTACACCTTATGGAAAAAGATGGGATGCTTATAATCTGTGAAATACAGCTATGAAACTATGTAGTTCAGAATTGGATACAAACAAAGCAGAAAAATGCAGCTGAATATTCCTAAATCAACCAAATGTATTATGGAGCAACATGAAGTTCTGGTACTGAACTGACTTTTATCACTAGAAAGCTACAAAATTATTCATACACAAGTAACTTAGTTCTTAAGGTTCTCAAGTCTTTGAATGCAATCTGATAATAGAGAGAGCGAGCAGTTTTGAAATACTTTTTTAAAGTTCAACTTTTTTTTAATTTCAAGCAGTAGTTACCTTTATTACTTTAAGCAGATAAATCTATTTTTTCTCTCTCACTGAGAGAAAATTAATATAGAGGATAATGTTTTAAAGAAATACTGTAGAAAACTCACCTATACTTACATATCTGTAATGTTTGCCTTGATACTGTACTGGAATAGAAGTTTTTAGTTGTCTGTCCTTGTTAAGCCATTAATTTTGAGGCTTTTTGATAAGAAGTATAAAAGAGTTGCGGTCCAGACTTCCCAGAATAGATTTAAAATGGTACAGTTTTTCATAATTGTTGAGGCTTGTCTTGAGGATTTAGAACAGGTCCACTGTGTGGATCTTAATAATTAAAATATTTGCCCTTTCCTTGTGGTAGTGTAGTTTTGAGTAAGTTCTTAATATTAGTGGAAAAACTGTAGAATTTATGACTGCATCTCCAGCTGTCAAAAAATATCAAGAAAATTTTGACTGTGATCTGATACTAGTGCAAATGCTGGAGGAAACATTCCTAAAAATAAAAAAAGTATTGGAGATGGAACTGCTATACTGTGTCTTAAATTTGCATTGACTTAAGCTAAATATTTAATTTGTATTTAATAGTATTGGAAGAAGAAAAACCAAGTTTGTACTGCAGCTTTTTCTGATTCTCTAATTTTCTCTTTATTTTGAATCAGCTGAAGAGGAGAGAGCACTAAGACAAGATAGAGGAAAGCATTATGGCTGGAAGCATCAGGGCAGATGTCAGTTGAAGAACTTTATCTCAGTAGTTTTTATAGTGCTTCTATTAAAGTCCCTGCTTGCAAATATTATTAGCATATCAGCAGTTGCAGAAATGGACAACTTAGTACAATGTTACATCTTAATCTGGTGAAGCGTTGATTGGCTTCAAAGGAGAAAAAGCATCATTGCAATTATAAACTATTGTATCCTTCTTTATATTGCTCGAGGACTGCGTGTGATTATAATGAAGCATGTATTCTTACTGGATCAGAATGTTGTCAAAGCAAAATGTAGTAACTTTTTTGAAAACCTGTGAGGCATTGCAGCATGTCTCTGTTCTTTCTTTCAGTTATTCAGTGCTTTTAATAATCTGTTTAGCTCTTTTCCATATTAACCTTTCCTGATGAAGGGACATATAAAATCTAATAATCCTAAAGATTTATGCCACCCTGTCTTTTTTACTCTATTCTTCAGGCACATTCAGGACCCAGCAAGCCAGCGGTTGACATGGAACAAACCTCCCAAGAGCGTTCTTGTTATTAAAAAGATACGTGATGCTAGTCTGCTGCAGCCTTTTAAAGAACTCTGTGTGTATCTTACTGAGGTAATGAAATGTAACACTTTTTTTTCCTCTCTCCAATAATTAAAAAATGTATAACTGAACTGTTTTCAGTCTTACTGATTCTGTTACAGGTAGAATGCATGGAATTGTGTAGTGCAAACAATCATTATGCACGTTGCAGTGGAAGTAATAAAACTTGTTTCAGAGCAGTACTTGGAGCTTTAAAAAAAAAATGGGGCAAAACTGTTTCCTTCATTCTCTTTCCAGTTCTAAGTTAAAGGGATAGGATAAAATATTTTATCCTTTTATTTTGAATAAGCATAGCAATGTTACTGTATCATGTAATTTATATTCCAAAGTTCAGTTTATTACATAGCCTGTGCATGCTGCAAATTCTCCATAGAATTAGACCATATACTGTAGCTTAAAAAAAAACTCCATAGATATAGAAAATCACTTCTGTAAAATATTAATCATATGTTTTAAACTAATGAAAATTGTGGGGAGAATCAAATATTTTCATCAAATATTTTCATCATTTTAAGAGGTTATTAGTAATGTTATCTTGCCTCTTTTAAGGAGAATAACATGATAGTGTATGTAGAAAAAAAAGTTTTGGAAGACCCAGCCATAGCTAATGACGATAATTTTGGACCAGTGAAGAAGAAATTTTGCACCTTCAGAGAAGGTATGGTAATGATTTCTTGAAAGTAAATTTGCGATACAGTGATTATTTGTCTTAGCATTTCCTCACTGATTAAATCAAATATGTCAAACTTTTTTTGTTTGTGAACAGCTGTTGTTATGTCTTAGTTGCAGTTTTTTACATTGGTGAGTGAATGTTGCTATGCTATACTTAATTTATGTTAGGAAGTTGAGACCTTTTATTTATTTATTTTTAGATTATGATGATATCTCCAATCAGATAGACTTTATCATATGCTTGGGAGGAGATGGGACCTTACTTTACGCTTCCTCACTTTTCCAGGTTGGTCTTCATAGGAAATAGACTTAAAGCACTCTTTTTCTTTTTAGAGAATTTGAAGATTGGTTTCTCCTTCTGTTATTGAGAACTGCATGTTTCCTCTGTTGTTCATTTTATCTTTATCAAACCTCTTTTACCCTCTACGTCCTGAAAATAATGTGTATGCGCTGCTTTGTTAAATTATATCACTGTTTTTGTTGTGCACAGTTGAGATTACATCAATAGTCAAAATACTGCTTTTATTCAGTAGCTTTTAAATTCTTTTCTTTATTGATAGGGTAGTGTACCTCCAGTTATGGCTTTTCATCTGGGATCTCTTGGATTTCTTACTCCATTTAATTTTGAGAATTTTCAGTCTCAAGTCACTCAGGTTATAGAAGGTAAATTTAAGGGGATAAGGTGTGGGGGTGTTTTGTTACATTTTTCTGCAGCTTTTACTAAGACTGGTTAATTTTTTTAATTGACTCACTTAGGTTTTTCAGTAAGATTGGGTCACCAAAAAATATATTAAACGAGTAAAAATACTGCATTGTATTGATCCACTCAGTGCTGCTTTCCATACTGTGTTGTAAAGGTAAATGGCTAAGAGATAACTTTGTCCTGTGTGAAATAAAAAAGTAAAAGAAAATACAGAACTTGTATGCTAAATGACAGCTAAATAAGAAGTCGTTAGGAAAGTCATATTTCATATTTCGAATAAGTCATTTTCTAAACAGAATTCATAGAACACTTGAAGAAATACTTTCTCTCTTCAATACAAGGTTCTTTGGGTTGCACCCAAAATAAAGATTTCTGAAAACATGTGTAGGACTCTCATGTTTTTAGAATGTTGTCTTTTAATAGGTTTTTCTAATGTACTGTTTTTTTTAAGCTTAGCTTCTGTCTCAGTTAAGCTTAGCTAGTGAGTCAGTATTTTCTAATCTTGATTGTGTTCATATAAAGCTTAAAATTTCTTTTTACATGATGGGGAAAGGGAAGAAGGACTAGCTCAAATTTGACTTCATTTTTGCTCATTACTACTAAAAATCAGTTTGAACTTTAACCAAATGTAGACAATTCTCTTGTGAATGAAATTGGAAATGTTGAAAACATAGGGACAGATGGCATTTTACTCAGATTGCTAGTCATTACAGAGTTTTATTACTATACTAGCATATAATTTTTGTGCATTTTCTCCTGTATTTCACTTCTAGGCAATGCAGCACTTGTTCTACGAAGCAGGCTGAAAGTGAAAGTAGTAAAAGAGAACAGAGAGAATATGACAATACAAAATGGTATAGAAGAAAATGGAGTCGTGTCTGCAAATACAGAGAAAGAAGTGGGCAAGCAAATTATGCAATATCAGGTCAGAGGGCAAAATAAGTAAACAAACAGAAAAACCTAATACACAATTTGTAAATTGCTTTTATTTATCAGTTTCCCCTTCTCATTAGTTGACTTGCCTTGGCCCAGTGGTGTGACAGAGCTATATTGGTATAATTCACAACATGTGTGCTAAATAATGGGCAAGTGGTGTACCTCCTTACTTGCTGCAGTCATAAGTGCTAATATTCTGCTGTCCTGTGCTAATAGTCTCCTTCTATTTTGAAAAAAAAAGCCCCAGGAGTTTTAAAACAGGCTATCCCAAAGATTTATAAAAGTGAGAAGAAAAGCCCTGCACATTGCTGGCAACTGACTTTTGGAAATAAACTTATTTGTAACATCAAAAAAAAAAATCTTCAACTGGCACTTGATAAGGCAAAATTGTAATTGGGTGGATATTAAATCAGTATGAACTTTTCAAAGATCTGGAAAGCATGGTTTCGCTTGTCGTTTGTTACATTGCCAAGTCAGCAATAGCAGAGTAGTGATATTGGATATCATTGCAGGTCCTAAATGAAGTTGTAGTGGATCGTGGTCCTTCTTCATACCTTTCCAATGTAGATGTCTTTCTAGATGGGCACCTTATAACCACAGTGCAAGGGGATGGTATGTCTGTTTCTTGAGTCAAATTGCTTATCAACTCCTGTGTAGACTGTTGTTATTTTACCAGAGGATATTTTCTCTCATATGGAAACAGCATCTCAAGCTTCAGCTCATGGGTGACAGAAAACATTGAGGTGCAAAGGATAGGTAAGGTTTTGCATCGGTAACTTAACGCAATTCACAACAGCACTGAAGTCTTAAAGAGTGTTTTAAGTTTTATTGTATATAGAACTGTGAAGGCAAGTGGCCACTTCTATGATACTTTAGGACAAAGAGCAAAAAACAGTCAGAAAATAGTTTACTTGGTTATCTGGAATTTGCTGAAAAGCCAAGATCTCCTAACTCATTAGAGAACTTCATCTTTAGAGCTCTTAAACTGTAATTCTTATCCTTTGCAGACAAATGAATGCCACTTTTACAAAGAATGTAGCCTGAAATCTAGAAGTTCATGCAGTTACATGTGGCCATAGAACAAACATGCTGTGCAAGGATTAGAAGAGAATTTCTGGCTTTTTATGTGTTAGACTGCAGCTCTTATGTGAAGTCCAAGTTGGTACATTCTTTGCTTCGTTTTCATAATAGTCCTACTTCTTAGGCTTCTTCCAAAAGAACAGTATTGATTCTAATGTTAATGTAAGCGAAACTTTTGCTCCTTTCACAGGAGTCATTGTCTCCACGCCGACTGGTAGCACTGCATATGCAGCTGCGGCAGGAGCTTCTATGATTCATCCAAATGTTCCTGCAATAATGATCACCCCAATCTGCCCTCACTCGTTGTCTTTCAGACCTATTGTTGTTCCTGCTGGAGTGGAGCTCAAGGTTAGCGTACATTATGTTATTTCTCTTTCCAAGCTAGAAGCTTCTGTAAGCATGTGAACCTGACCAAACTGAAGAGGTTAGGATTTGCCTGGTATTGAGTTTCCTGCAATTCTCTTATTTGTGGGAGGACTTGATCAAATCTGTTTGGAGAATACATGTTTGTGTAGAATGATAACCCACCATGACAAAACGTTGCACTGCTTTTTAGTGGATTGTAGTTGTATAGACTTTTGCAAAATTTGTATAAATACATTTGTGTTCTGATGAGTAGGGCTAAAGTGCATGCAGCTCAGTAGAGTTCAAGGGAATGAAAAATTATACTCTCCATGGCTAAAGCTATTGCAGATTTTAAGTGTGTTAGTAGAGGTACCTGCAGTTCACTGAGTATTTTTGTTACAGCGGATGCAGTCTTGCAGAAAATGTTGGCACATAAAACCAAATATAAAATGGACTTAGTTAATGTGCAATTTTAGTCTATGCATGTGTTTAAGGAAGAACCCCTTTCTGCTTCTTAACTGTTACAAGTCTCTGGTCTACTTAAGTTGCAAAAGAACTAATATCTTTAGATGAGATCTCCTTGGCATTAAGAAAAACGTGTGTGCTTTTTGTTGTTGTTCTTGTTTTTACTATATGAATTGGATGTTTATTCATGGCACTGCTGTCAATCCACAGTTATTTATGGGGCAGTGGATGCTACTGGCCAATGACAATCACTTCTCCTTTTCTCTTAAATAGGAAATTATGTTAATTATGAGCAATTAACTTATGACTTCCTGAATCTGATAGTTTTAGATTTATTATATATCAAAGCGAAAATCTATTGTTCTTGATAATTTTTATAATTTTTTTTGAAAGAGGTGCTAAGCCAACTCATGGAACTGGACTGGGAAATGCACTGGCTGTAACTGGAAGGTCTTTCTGTTTTATGACCTTGCTGGATTTATCAAGGCAGGTTTATTGCACACAGAAAAATACATATACATATACATATATTTATATATATGAAACATGAAATGAATGTTTGGAACTTGTTTAGTATGTTCCTATAGTGTTATTACTGACAGATGACAAATTTCAGTGCAACTGTAAAACTGGAAGAGTAAATTCTGTACTCAAAGGGAGGATGGAGAAGGTGTTTCTTCCTTGCTCTTGAAAATAGAAAGTACAATAGGTCTGGAAGCTGAAATTTCATTCTTTTCTCTTTTTCAGATTATGCTTTCCCCAGATGCAAGGAATACAGCATGGGTTTCATTTGATGGAAGGAAGAGACAGGAAATATGCCACGGAGACAGGTCAAGTCTTTTTTTGGTTGTAGCATCTTTTTTGTAAATATAGAAAATAGTAATTCATGTGCTTCTCTCGTTCTGCTTAGACTGTCAAAAAGGCAACGAAGAAACAAGCTTTTATAAGCCCTAATATCTCTTACAGGACAAACTGTGCTAAAAATGCTTGCTAATTTCTCACGTGAGCTTTTTGGATCTTACTGTGAAAGCAAATCAAGTATCAGGACAAAAGCATGTGAACATTGCATACTTGGCAAGGAAGGGAAATGTCTTTAGAAACTTCTGTAACTAACTTAATTAAGTAATTTCTGTAATTAACTTAAAGATAGATCTTGGGAGTCTGAGAAGAATTAAGCCAACAGGAGTTCACATATTCAGTAACTCTTCAAATAATGCCATATGGTTAAACCATGTTAACTTATCGAATCATTGTGATCATTTGCAATACTGTTGCCTTGAGTGGGCAAAATGCAATGTATGAAGGTTCCACAGTTTTGTACAAAATGTGGTGGCTTTACCCTAATGGGAGGTGATGTAAGGTAATTTTGTGTGGTATGTGACTGACAGACTTGTCATTCAGGATGTCCATTTTCTTTCCTTCCTGATCCATATTAGTTGCCAGGAAGGAGAATGTGCAGCAGCCATGATACTCCATCTTGAATTGTTTTTATTTCCTCTTACGTTGAAAAATCTATGGAATAGATCAGGAAGAATCCAAATATCAGATTTGGCATTTGGTCCTTTGTTAAGTGTTAGACTTCTCAGTGCTGTCACTTATTGTTAAAACTTGAAATTTAAAGGCCAAGGTGATGACTTAAATTTTCCTTTGTCCCAGTGTTGAGGTTGTGAAGACCAACAAGAGAATGCAGGACTTCATAAAGTGGGTTCAAGATTCTCACTGTGTGAAAAAAAGCTTAACCACAGCACTTCTGTTAGCAGTTTTAAGCCCTGTGTTCATTCTGTTTAGATGTGTCTGCATACTTGGTTATCGCCTGATTCTGGAAACTTACTATTTCCCCTAAATGGCTAAATGCAGCACTCGTTTAGCTAGTGACTTGAAGATTAACAATAACAAAAAAAATCTAGGTATACAGGGTCTTTGCTGAAAGGGTTTATTGCCGTTCGTTGCCCTTGACTGACCTGGGGTATTCCTGTGTTGTTGCAGTATTAGCATCACTACCTCTTGCTATCCCCTTCCTTCGATCTGTTTCCGAGAACCTGTGAGCGACTGGTTTGAAAGTTTGGCTGAGTGTTTACACTGGAATGTTCGGAAGAAGCAAAATAACTTTGCTGTTGAAGAAGAAGAATTTTAAGTGTCTCCATCTAACAAGACTCATGGGAATGGAAAGTAGCAGTATCTCTTCTGTTAAAATATTTGGGTTTTAAGTTTTTGGCTAACATGTATGGACACCAAGACAAACATATACAGTGACGTACCTCATATCAGTCTGATCTGCCGATGGCCCAAAAATCATTGTGCTACTTCCTGTCCACCAGGAAAAGGAATGGAAGAAATTAGGCTCTGATTGTTGTAATCCAAATTTAATTTCCTTTAAATGAGAAATTTTGAAATGGATTATTTCTGATGGTATTGACAAGCAAGTCTGTAGATGTGTTTGTAACCAGCAACATGCCAATAACATAGTAGACTGTAAGCAGATACATAATAGAATAGTGGTATTAAAATATTTGATTTGGTATATTTTTAATTCCATTTTAAGATTTTTTCTGCATCTAAAACCTTTAAGGACTTTTCTTTTAAAATAAGCTGTCTGTTAGCTTAGATATATCTTGCTCAGAATGTCTCCCTATCAAGACAGCACTTACAATACTTTCTCCTTAGTTGCAGACGTGACAAACTACGAAGGAACACCCAGGAATATGTTTTCTATGAATAGATGGAACTTAAAAGGGGGGGAGGAGGGGGAAAAAAAAACTCTTGTGCATATTTGATTGAACAGTGTTTGGCCCTTGGCTGTAATCACTGTATAAATATCCAAAAATAGCATGAACAAGTGTTAGTGTGGGCTGACTTGGGGGTACAACGATTCTCATTTTTGTGGCGGAGCTAGTTTGTAGCTCCGCAGTTTCTGTTGGTGGGAATCGTCAATGTGTTTGATTTCTTATTGTTTTTGTTTAATTGTCTGGAATGAATAATACTATTAGAGACTAGAGTTAAAAATTTCACCATGTGCTCAAGAAGAGTCTGGACTTGAATTACTGCTATATTGTCTAGCTCCACTGTCTTGAAGAAAAAACAATATCCTAAACTAGGTCTTCAACATTCACAGATACCGTCTTCCAACTTTGGGTGCTGAGTAATACGGAAGGGGATACTGCATTGATAGGCTGATCAGTGAGAATACACATTCCCAGTATAGTAGCAATGGTGCCTTCAGCACACTCAAGGTATTCTAAGTCTCATATGTACTTTTTAAAGATGCTTTCAACTGTTTCTAACTTCTCGATGTACATATTTTATTGTACATGCTTTTATGAAAATAAGCAGTTTGGAAGAAAGGGGTTTGTACTGTATGTTAACTGAAAAAATATCAACCCCACGTATGTTGTTTACATTTATGTTCTTTTGGTGCAGTCTCTTGGTGATACTATCCAAACTGTAGCATTTTCAAAGTGTTGCTGCATCGGCCATTAAAGGAATGGACATTATCCGTTATATTTACAACCTACACCATAATATTGTGGAGGAATTAATTTCTTACTGATTAAGGTGGGATTTCTTTGTAAGTGGATTGAGAAGCTCTGTTGAACTCTTCATGGTTGTCTTACGTTGTTTGTGTGGTCCAAGGCAGTAATGGGAAATGTATTAATTTCTGAACTCTGCATAACCTGCTGTCCTCTGATGATTTAATGAATGTATCTTCCTTTTTGGATACTGCACTAGTCTATCTAATTTTATTAGATCAAGATGAGAGCACTTTTCCATAAAGCAGAAGCAAGCTCTCAGTTAGGGATACAAATCACAATGAAGTTGTGTTACTATAATACTCAGTTTGTAAATTTTGTAAAATAGAATATTAGTTTAATTTAGTCTAAACAGATAAATTTTATGATATCTTGGAAAATTTTCAGATAGCTTTTGGGATTTGTCTTTCAGTTCAATCTACAGTAATCTGTAAACTGTTTTGAAGTTGCTTACGGGTTTTCTAGATGGAATATTCAGTTATTAAATACCTGTTTACTTTTTGAGCCTATAGAAGCATCAAACTTTTTGCTTTGAAACCATTCATTTTCTTATTTAAACATGCAATAATTGAGACAAGGAACAGGGTACAGTGGTTGTATGAATGTATTAAGTGAAAAATAAGCAGGATACTAGGCACATTAGGAAGTGGAAATCTTTTTGAGGTGAGGTGAAATGATTAATGAGCCTTATTTAGTTGTTTGTTTTTTTTTTTTTTTTAAGATAAAACTATATTCAGCACTTTTTATTTATGCTTTTTCATAATAGTAAATCTCTCATGAAGTAAATTGTCAACTTTAATTTTCAGAGTGTATAGTTCATGAAACCTGTAAACAAAACTTAGTTAACTACTTTCTCTAAATTAGATTTACTAGGATGTCTTTGGATTTATCATATGCTGCAATTGCATTATGGGCTTTAAGGCTTCTGCAGTTTTGCTTGTACTACTAGTCCCACTTGATGACAATCTTAATTTGGATCAGTGCTCAGTCAAGTAGAGAGGTGCAACCACAGACTACAGGGAAAAAAAGTCATGTCATGATGGATTTACTTCAGAAAAGCTGCTTTGATTATAATATTACTAGCTGTTCTTTACCAAAACACAATCTAAATTATTTGTGTTAATACATTACGAATTTATCTAACTGTCCAAAGTCCCTTTTCAAGGCCTTTACTCCTCAAACCAGCAATTCACAAGAAAGATAGTGAGGTTTGATTGGCATTCAAGTTTTGCATATTTAACTGCTTAAAGGGGGTGGGTGGGTGGTAACTTCTGTTCAGACTAGAGCTGAATTGGAAAAGAGCTCTAATGCAGATCTGGTTATATTGGCAACAAAAAACTCGTTTTGCTGATGTAGCTTAATCCATTACAGGAACTCCTTTAAGTTGAACTAGTAAAGTAGCTTTTTGCTGGTTATGAGCAGTATTTCTAATATAAGGATTTGTTCATGTTATTATTTCTACAAACCCTTTCCAATTAAAAAAAAAGGGAGACTTGGAAATGAATTTGTTTAGAAGAAAATCAGTTACTCTCTACTAGAGTTTAAGCAATTATTAAAAATTGATGTAACATGGTTATAATGCAGTGTACTGAATTTTTTAAAGAAAAATCTTGTTAAATATTGTTAATGTTTTGAAAACTTGGTTTAAATATTGTTGAAAACATATTTTTCAATCCTTTCAATAAATTCTTTTTTTAAAGTTGGATTTGTGCAGCAGCAGCTTTTTGACTGTTGGAAATACAAAGATATGCACAATTGCTTACTTGGAAGCCAAATGTCCAGTGTGGGTATTTGATACATTGTCTCATGGACAGTAGCTTCTGTTTTCTAGAAGTACATGTAGGTTTTTCTAAATATGTATGTCTGATACCAGTCTTTTCTCAAAAGTTCCAAAGTAAAAGGTGTTGGATTTGCTGTGCAAGTTAAAACAAATCTTCCTTGCAGCTAGTTAGGCTACACTAACTAGTTTTTTGAAGGTCCAAGAGTAGAATAATGAGGGGAGGAGCAGTAAGCACAGTAAACTGAGATAATTTCAGATATTTGGATACATAATAAGTTTAAGAATGAACATGTTTAAATACCTGCTCTATCCTGCTTTTGCACACTGGCTGAGTTCTAGGCGCTTCTTCCATGATGCCTATAGTTAATGATTATGATTAAACTTCCTTTTATAATTTCATAATTAAAGCAGTTTGTAACTTATTCCATAAAGTAACAGTTCATGCATGCCACACGAATGTCAGGATATCTCATGCAATTAATATAGCTGCTTTTAAAAGCTCATTTGCTTAATGAGGTACCTTAGAGTGTGTATCTTCTCATGCCTGGCTAGTTAAAAATTCTTGCTGTCCATAGTCCAAACAATAACCCAGTATTTTTGTGATGGTGACTCTCTATTGCCTATGTGTAAAGCAGGGAAATAGCACTGCCAAAGAATGGACCCTCAGTTTGGCTTTGCACATATGACTCTTTTGAGATAGTTTACATGCAACACGCTAGTCCTGTCTTCCAAAAAGGATGCTTCATAGTGTTTGCAGTTTAAAATGACCCAGTTCTAGCATTGAGAGAGATAGTTACCATAGCTTGTTTAACTAGCAAAAAGGAATCTTTTCCTGCCTTCTTCCCAAGTTGAGGTATCAGAAGTTCAGGTGCAAAATTAAACCAGCTGTGTTGATTAAAAAAACTGCTATGCCAGTTTATCTGGAGTTTCAAGAGTTAGAATTTAAAGCAGCCCAAAATAGGAAGATATAATTTGGCTATAGGGCTGTGTGAAGCTTGAGGCCAGCAACCATCTTTCTAGTTTTATCCCGCTTGGGTGTGTGTCTACATGACAAGTAGAAATGGATGTCAATACTAATTTGAATTAATCTAGATTGTTCACATAGCAATGATGTGGCAGCATAGATTTCCGCTATCTCAGTAAGTAAAAAATAATCTCTGATATTGGATGTGAAGTGCATCCAATCAGTACAGGTTTTACTTGCTGCTGCTGTTCCCTGAAATGCTAAGTCAAATTTAATCTGGGTCTCCCTTTCTGTGCAGCAATTCCACCTCTTGATGACAGTGTTGTGCTCCTTGTGCAACTGGGAGAAGATTTACTGCATTGTTAATGAAAGGAGTGGTGGGGAAACATCTATTATTTGCAGCAATATTAAGAGTTGTTTTGTAATAATGACTGTGTAGTGCTTCTAATGACCATTTGAACTTGCCATACCAATTAGTGATTTGTTACCGTGGGGCACAGGTTTACAAGGCCTAAATGTTCTTCTTCACTTTGTCAAATTATCTTCTGCTTTCTGTGCTATGTCTTCAAACGTTTGTTCTTTAACTTTTCTGGAGTCCAAATGAGTATCAATTGTGGCACGTGTACACAGTAGCCGTAAGCTTTTTCTAAGGGGAGTCATAAAACACTAAGGGGAAAAGGAGTTTGGTCTCGTATCATTCTCAAAGAGAAAAACAGGAAACCATACCCAGGGAGATAAAATTAAAACTGCCAATACTTTGTAATACAGGAGGGGAAAAAAAAAAATCAACTTTTTTCCCATTAACGTATTATGAAAAATTGAACTCAAAAGATTTGACAGAAGATCTGGTAGAAGTCAGTCATGTAAAAAAATAAAGCATGTGAGCGGTTTGAGTTTTTTCTTTCTGTTAGGTGTGTTTATTTTACTACATACTAAGAAGTATCTCCCTACCTGTTGTTTTTAAGAGAAATGTCTTATTAATTTAGCATGGACAAATAAGATTGACCTAATGTTTATGTGTTAACAGGTGCCTTGTAAAGAATTTGAGCAAATGACCAAAACCAGAAAGCTTTTTTTCCATACCATTCTAGGTAAAAACTTGCAAAAACTGTGTTGACAGTGGAAGTCCTTGTTGACATGTAGAGCAGTAGCCTCCATTTTTGTGGTACAGTGTGAATAGTGTGATTTGTTCCCATTGCTTTCCTTTTTGATTGGTGAAAGCCAATTAGAAATGTGATGAATTAACTCTGTTCTTTTGACCTTATATAGCTGGATTAATCTGCCTTAATGTTAGAAAATGTGAAGCTGGTTATCCCAACCAGTTGGTGTAATGATTATCTATATCCAGGATTAGAGTAGCTGGGTAAAAAGTAAAGTGCGGCAATTTACTTATTTAGCCAAAAGTATTGCTGTAGATTATGATAGGATTGCATATAGGGAAACTTTCACAGATACAGTAGTAGTTCTGACCTACAAAAGCATTAACTTCACTGAAAAAACTGGATGCTGCAGAGCTTACCCCTTTTCCGATACTTAGGTTGAATTGATGGAGTAAGTTTAAAAAAAAATTATAGCAAAGGCACTCTTGGTAATATATTGTGTTTCTAAATAGAATTAGCTAGTTAGCATGTTATCTTTTGAATTAGGATTTGTCAAGATGTGAAAAAGAACAGGCAGATTTCCGTGAAGGTTATTTCCCCAAGGCATAACAATACACTGTTGCTTTCTGGGGGATAAATGTTTGAATGTAATCACAGCTGTATTTCTTCTAACTATACAATTGTTTCTGTCATCTCTTTGCTATGAAGATAAAAGGAACATAGCAATAAACATACTTTCGTCACTTAATTTTGGCAAAGTACAAGCCTCTTGCAAGATAGACTCATGTCTGCCTTTTTTGGTTTTTTTAAATAAGTATTGAACATGCTTAATTGTGTTCCTCCCTTTCAGCAACAATTCAAAGCCAGGTTTTGTTATGTGGAATGAGGCCGCAGTGATCAGCTCATCTCATGCTTTCTCTTAATATTGTCATCTGTATGCTGTCTGGCCATAGACATGTACCTCTTCATGCCTCAATGTGCATAAAATAATTCATTTCAGGTTGAGAAGACTATTGTAAGAAATATTTTTACAGAAGTTTTGAGATCTTCCCTGTAAAATTAAACTAGTTTATTGTAACTTAGTAGAACTGTTTTGTGCAGTGTTTGAGTACCCATAATTTAAAGATGCAGTCCAAGGGGAATGTGATGGCAGTTCTCACAACACATGTGAATTACAGTTCCAACCTCTTCCGTACTGTGTTCATACATGGGCTTCCCACCTAAGACATGCAATAAATAATTATCTATGCCCACACTGTTCATACTTTATTAAAAAATACACAGCCAGTAACAAAAAGCTTCCAATTAGTAAAATATGAAACTTTTAAATTAAAGGCTTATTTTAACAATCACCATTGGGCATGAAATGGCACGTTGGTTAGATCCACTATCAGAGTCAGGGCATGAGATTAAATTGTGTAGAATTAATGTATAGCTGGGATTAAAAAAATAAATATTCCAAAATATTCTGAAGTCAGAGGAAGAGCAAAAGCCATAGGCATTCTGTGAGGGTGGAGATCGGGGAATGAAGCTTCATCAAAACAACTTGTGGGTTTGTGAAAATCATTTAACTGCTGTGTAGCAAGAGAAAGCTTGTGCTGTGCTCTGGGAACCTCTGTTCAGCAGCACATCTGTTGAGAAATGAAGGTACAGCAATCTACTTCTAGGCTCAGTGAAAAAAACAGGCTGCTGTGCAAATTGTCTTCACTATGCTGGTATATCAATTAAACCAGCATTTATGTTATTCTCTACTCACATGTAGGTTGTAATCTCCAGTTGCAAAACAATATCAGGAAAATAAAGAGTGAAAGATGTGTTCTCCTGTCAGCAAGACGCACTGAATGAGAGGATTACTGCTGATTTCCAGAGTGTGCTTTGCTTTTAAACTAGGTTACCAGCTCCGCTGCTATAGTTCCCAGGCACAGTACAAACCAAGAAATGTATAGATGTGGAACCCTGAAATTGGAGGACCAAAAAGGTGAGTAGCTTTTATGCCCCCTTTTGGGCTAGCTCTTCTGAGCCCTATCTCAGCAAAACTCACCTATTATATTTTGAATGCAAATACATGATCAGAACTTTCACAGCTGTGACTTCACTCTATGAGAGCTGCAGACTGAGCACAAGGGGATGCTCAGGAGTCAATCCTTCCATAGGAAGAAAACACTGTGGGAGGAAAGGAAGAAGAATATCACAGTCAACACCAATGCCTAGCATTTATGTCATTAATGTAACAGGAGGCTTGGGTAGCTTAAGATCAGTGGCTCTCTGTATCTCTTTATTCTGTCCCTCTTAGTTACTAGGAGGCAGTTTTACAGCACCATACAGAAGAAATTATCTTACAGGGAAAAATCTTCTCCATATAACTCTGGTTTTCTGAGTAGCAGTAAGTCTTGCCCAGGTTTGGAAGCGACCTGATTAATGTCAGTTTTCTCCAAGGAGCGATCACGTATGTTCTATCTCATCCAAGCTGGTGAACTTTTTCAGGACAGTAAATTCTGAGGCTGCAGTAGTACTTGCTGTCATTAAGGATCTACCTGTTACTGTGACTATCCCTAACTCTTTTTCTGGCCTGATGAGCTCTCTGATTGCAATACAATAGGCTACAACCTTTTCATATGTGAACTTAACGTTTTTAAGTACTTACTTCTTTCTCTCAGCCCCTGCCCAAAGCTGCGGTAGACACGAATCAATGCCCAAAACAAAACAGATTTTATTGCAACAGAAATGCAGGAGCCAGTAATGACAGCAGCTTCCAGAGTGTAAGAATTCCTTTTGCCCCACTTTGTTATTACCTGCAGGAAAAGAGAGACATACAACAATCAGCAGCACCTAGTGCCACAAAACCCTGATGCTGTAAAATGCAGATCAACCATTAAATGGCTGAAAGAAGTCAACAGATAGTAATCAGACAAAAACAAACCTGGTTTGCTTTTAAACTCTCTTGTTTTCCTCCTTGGTTGCAGATTAATCTAATCTAAGTTCTAGCTAAATGCTTTGTGCCTTCTGATCTCAACATCATTGAAGTCATATGAGAACAGTATTGTGCCCAGACTGAAAAACCAGCTATGCCAGAGATAAGGAAACCAGACTTCATCTTACATCTCAGTCTCTCTCCACTGCAGATTATGGGATGAAAATTATTTTCCTTGGCTGTCATTGTACTGCTGTTGTCATACATGTCTGGGGGTCTACTTTGAGATCCCCATTTTCTTCCACGGTTAGCCTAACTACTTTGCCTCTGACATCATGAATGTCTAACCTCTGCTTTTCTAAGGGGTCTGACACACAAAAGATGGCAGCTTGCAATGCAAAGCAACTCTTTTTTTTATATCCTGCAGCTATCCACTATGCTGAGCAAAGGTCACTGCTCCAATTAACCAAGTATGATCAGGCATGTTAATACTAAGAGGAGAGACCTCTGCAAAAATCCAGCAGTGAAGAAAGGATACGAAGACCCAACAGTAGTCCTCCCGCTTCCAGCAGTCCTAGTGATTATTGAGCTGAGATTAAAAAAAACAAAAAAAAAAAAAACAAAAAAAAACATAGTTCTCTGATCGTTTTGATTTGTTAACCTCAATGGCATATCTCCTAAATATAGGCAGGTTGAATGTCCTGGCTAATTTCAGTGCGGTTGATTTGTTTCTGCCTACTTAAATTTCACCAGTTTTCTTGTTTACACTGCAGAGGTTTGTAAAGCAGCTGCTATGTATTATCAGAATCTCTAGCAGCTTTTTCAGAGCTGAAGTAATTAACGGTAAATGCAGTTTGCTTTTTCTTTTTTGCCTTTGAGGTGTTCAGATAAAAGGTGCTAGAAAAAAATTGTTTTGGAGAAGCGATTACAGTGCAACTGCCTCTGGCAGAGATGGGTATGCATGGCCTGTTGATGCTCTCCATTTCTAGGTACTCTTGCACATTCATTGTTGCCATGCAAAACTGTAAGCAGACCTGGCTGTTTTCAATTGCTATGTTACTCTTATGTCAGAAGCTACCACCCGTGTATTTCTTCCTCACTGTAATACAAGGACAACATAGCCACCAAAGACAGTGTTTGGTCCTTTAGAGGCCTGTAAATAAAGAGTCTGATTTGGCTGCATGCTTTAATAAATAAAACCCCAAGGACTTGGATAACTGCTGCTATTGGACTTCTATCAGTATCAGTCTTGCCCTCTATTATCAAGCAAGTTTCATGAATTACCATGTAAAGCAGGTAGATGAGATAAACTACTTCAGGTACATTCTGGCTTAGAAAAATCCACACCAGAGGTTTCAGTTCTTTTAGAATCTGTAAAATAAGATGGGATACATGTGTCTTTATAACTGGTTGCTGTGTACTCCATAAAGGCTATATATTGTTCATTTTCCAACAGGATTTTAAGTGTTGGTCTAGCTCAGTTCCCAGTCATAACTTTGCTTTCTACTTGCCTTCTCCACCTATGCTCCTTGGCAGGAAATACGATCTCTCTTTTCCACTGAACCGGGACAGGAGTGGTGTTGGTGAAAATCAAAACTGATGGTTTTATGGGCACATCCTGACAGCTGTGTGGTTTGAGCCATCTGGGCCACCCTCTTGAGCCCTGCCTGGTTATACTTCCAGGACAACTCCCAGCTAACTTAAATGGAGAAGCTGTTGACTCTTCTGAGGACCGCTCCATCTAAGCTGATGTATTTTTTCCAGCAAATTTCTTTTTTCGTAATAGTTCTTGAGGTATACTCTTTATTTTTCTCTAACAATTTAATATTTTCATAGCTTACAGACTGAATATGCTTTGTTACTATTTTCTCCAGCTTTATTTCTCCTGGAGGGAAGTAAAGCCCCTGAGAGCGAAAAACTTGGGAAAAGCCAGAGGATTTAACTGTCAGAATAACTGTGTGTCATGCTTAACCTTGAGACTTGGGAAAGAAGAAATGATGGACTACTTTTCCTGTCTAGGAGAATCCCTCGAGCTGGTGGCAGATTTCAGCAGTCCTTAACCAGAAGGGCAAGTCAGAGCAAACCAAAGAAAAACAGCTGAGTCACTGTGAATAAAAGCAGCAACTGGGCCAACTGTTGTGATAAGATTTGATGCATCTGATTGAACCCTCAAAATCAATACTGATCCTTCTGCAATGGTCAATGTCTGAACCTCTATTAGAAGTAGTAAGGGAAGTGTGCCTCTGCCACTGGCTCTGTTCTCTGTGATACTGCACTGTGCTCCTCTTAGGTTAAGAGCAAAAATAGACTAAGGCTGAGAAAGAATGGGGTGTGGTTAGGCTAGGAAATAAGAGAGGAGAAAGAGACAGCTGAAAATTAACAGGATGAAAAGGGAAAAATGGTATTATGGAGCCTAAGTTTAATAATGGAGGCAGGAAAAAGAAATCCACCAAAGGAAATAGGAGACCATGCACATAAACAGTGCATAATAAATAAATAACAGTGAACAATCCCCTTGTGAAAAGGCATACAGCATCAGCCCAGAAATAAGGGAGTCTGAGTTGAAGTTGTGTTTTCAGGTATTGCGGTGTCCAGAAAAGACTGCGTACAAGGCGTTTCCATGTTTTCCCTTCTGCTATGCTTACGCTTTGTGGCGTATTATGTATGTCTCCGTATTTTTCTTGCACAACAACCTGAGGATGTGCTGTTTGTGAGAGCACCAAACAAGAGACAGCATGACATGTTACTCTACTGCTGCATCATCTTCAAGAAGCTGATTGTGAAAAACTTGTCTGAACAGGGTAAGGAAAATGAGTTCCTACGGTGATCCCTCTGTGAAACCATCTGCATTCTCACGCCTAAGACAGAATCATTTTTTCCTCAGATGCAAAGCTGCCAGTCTTTGACCAAACATACCTGACTTTGTAAGGTGCAGTTGCCCTGCAGTGAGTGTCACCAGCTACTGAAATACAGCTCTAGCAGTTTCTTTTCATTAGTTTTGCATTGCTATTTCTCAGTTAGACAACTGTAGAGAAGGCAGTACTGTACCTTGACTGGGTAAAAAGTAGCTTTCAAATAGTTCTAATGTAGACAGTTTTGAGCAAAGAGGCAAGAATATGTACTGATCCCTAGAACGTTTGCTATTACTAGTAGAACTATTAAGAAACAGGTTTGCTATTGATGAGAGCATGAGTGATATCGTGTATGTTAAGACATGAGACCATCTAATTGAAATATAAAATGGTGCCTCTGTTAATGCCTGAAGGCAAATCAAGGAAATAATTCATAAACCTGTGAAAGGCAAATGGTTCAACCTGGTTTCTGATGGTGGTGGTGGGGAAAACAGCTGCAAGGTTTACACTTTCAGTCCTGACAGGCAAACAGACATGGTTCTGGTATCACCCTCCTTTCCACACCTGATACAATTTAACTGAAAGCAAAGATCCAGGGATTCACAAAGATACATGAGGAGCTCCTAGGAGGAAGCTAAGCTATAAGATACACTAACTGCATTCTTAAGCCAGGCACTCATAGTGAGTCCTGTCTCCTTTCTGCCAACAGGACGGAAGCTAGCAGCCACTAGACTCCAAAGGCCAGGAGAAGGATGATTCAGTGTGACTTCTCACGTAAAATGAAATAGTAATTTAAGAGCCCAGTGCTTGGTGTTATCCCCATTTTTTTCAAGGAGAGCAAACAAAACTCTTACTGGTATCCAGGAAATAATGCCTAGCTTGTACTAAAAAACTGTATTTCAACTGTTAGGAATTTGTCTGAGTGGCTGAAGCAAACATCTAAGAAACTCTTGAAGGGAAAAAAAATAAAAATCCTTTCCTGTAATATTGGATTCACGTATCTGATCAACTTTGCTCCTGATTCTGTGATCCTTCCTGAGACAGAGCTCTCAAAGATTTCAAAGGAAGTTCAGTCTGACTGGCATCAAAAACTACAATTCAAGTTCACAAATCCTTGTTAACCTGAAGATTGCCACTTACCGTTGTGATAAAGGACCACTCATCATTTTGGTGTGGTTTTCTACGGAAATAAGGCCTGTGCAGTCTCATTGTGTCTGTCTATCCATCTTCATAATAATTTGCAGGACTATTGCCAGTTTCACCTAACCTTGTCAGAGAGGTAGAGATCTTGAAGATATTAAGATCCTACAAGTTTCATGACAGTAGGTGGTCAGGTAGAGGATGGAGAATATAATAATGTCCCTCAGAAAGGAATAACGATAGTGTGAGATTGTCTCATCCTGTATGCTCAGGGGAGAGACTCAGACGTGTAAAAAACCTGACTTCATTAGTGTTGATGCTCTATTGGGATCCGTTTGGGCTCCCCTCCCGCTTAGCAGTATGCGTAGAATAGGATGGCTGTGACTGCCCAGCCTGTCATCATTGCTCAAGGTGAGACTCTGTAGTCTTGGAAGGTGACTCCCCTTGCTAGTGTCGCTGTTAGCTTAACACTTACTGCGATGATGCTAATGGTCACTTTCAGGCACGCCCAAAGGACTCCCGCTGCTGAGATGATGTTATGTAGAAGGGTGATCTCACGCAGGCTTGTGAGCAGAACACACAAGCAGAGCTAAAAGAGGAGAGGCAAAGACTTGATAAACTTACTAGTTTAAAACTATACACCCCACCAAAAATATCAGACACAAAATCCCAGCAATAGTAACTTGGGCAGACCTTAAAAGGATAAAATTTTTCCTCAAAAAAGTGACAGACATCATTCCCTTGTATACCATATTAGCACCAAAAGAAGAACAGGGCCTTCCCTGCTTCCCTGCAGCAAGATGTGCTGCAGACAAAGTATAAAATAATACAGAGGCAAAGTAAGAATGAATGGCACTGTACAGAAGTACAAACTCCTTCTAAACAGACCTTGGGTTCACTTCACTTATCTGAAACTTCAGGTTGTTATCTCACCCTTATTATTGTGCCAGGTCAGGCTATGATCTTCCTCCCCTCTCCCATCCCAGTATCATTTTCCCAAATGTAGTAGACAGCTAGCATAGCTGAAAAGCAGTAGGCTGCAATGTTGTGCAGTGATAACCTTTCTTATTTTAGGAGACTGAATACAATGCTGAGTGAGAGCTTATGGAAGGAAGTGTTGTTTTGGGCAAACTTATTTCCCAAAAATAAGATTGTTTTAATTATTTTGGCAGGACAGTGAGAAAATAATGTTGATCCATTTTTCTGGATTTTATCCAAAATTCCCTAACGCAAATACCTCAAGAGATGACCATTTTTAGGCTAACCTTATCTAAAAGGTAAGACAGACAGAATTGCTCTAGGAAGTCAACAGTTCAGCTCAGCTAGTCTAATTCTAACTTCTGCTTAATAGGAGGAAAAAAAGGGGAATCTGAGGGAGAGAGATCTATACCTGTGCCTGAAGATCAAAGGTCAACATGGAAAAACAAAGGTTCAGCATGAAGTATTGTGACTGTAGGCTTTCTAGAGCACCACCCACTCGGAAGGCCATCATGCTTTGACTCTGAATGAGGATGATGGCACAGATCACATCAAAGGAGCCAACCAAGAGAATCAGAATGAAGCGAGCCTGATGGGAAAGCGAAATAAGAATGTGACTGGCCACACTGAAACAGGACAACTTTAAAATTTAAATCACTTATAACTGGAAATAACAGAATAAAGGAGCAAGGATATCCAGGCTGCCTACTCTCTGCCTACAGAGATCTGAAGTAAGTGTTTTAAGTTACAATTAAACACGATAGATTGCCATACTGTTAAGTAGCAAAGATCTGGTCGTGATTATCGCCATTTGATGTAACCACTTGGTAATAATTGTAAACTCACATTGGCTATTTTTGCTCATGTTACCCTCAACGTAGTTTTGCAGCTGTTAAGAGAAACATAACCTTTGCACTCCCTGTAATATCACTACAATTTTTAGCAAGGTTTTGCTCAAGTTTGAAGTACAGTTTGAAGAAACAACTTTCTTTTAACACAGACTGACTCTAAACTTCCTTTATGGCATAAACCAACTGGTAAGAAACTTCTTCTTTGATTTCTATGGGGACAGTGCTGTATTTAGTAAGTTTCTAGAAACGCTGGTTTGGCTGGGTTGTATCTGTAGCTTTGTTGTCCTTCACAACAAATATTTGCTGCTTTAAAGACAGATGGAGTGGCAAAACGTCCATCTCTATATAATTACATTGGTATAAAAATGCTTATATAAACATGCCTTATTCTGGCACAGAAACTCTGCGCAGGAAGTGGAGGGAGTTACAGTAATCCAAATTACTTTTATAGTAGTAAAAAAACATCCTTAATCTTCTAGACTAGGCCCTATTTTGAGGTTCTTATTTAATATATAAGGTAAAGACTGGGACACATACTTTAAAGTAATTTGCATGCCTTTGTTGCCTGTTTTTTTACTGACCCTATCAATTTAGTTTGCTGTAGATAAGTATGTTTAACTAAATGTACAACTGATATGTACACTGACTAGGCAAATTCTGCTCTGCTTTGATCTTGCTAGCTTGGTTGTAATCCCTGCTATCCAAGAACAAATTTTGGATGACTCTAGCTAAGAATTTCCTTTTCACCTTTGGGAAAGTTGTGTGACCATAAAAGGGAAGGACTTCTGAGGAGCACAGCAAGAGGAAGTTTAACTACAAACCCTAATAAGGCATAGGATACAATCCTTGCATTACATTTTACTGTTATGAAATGCAAATGAGATAATCTGGAATGGCACTACCTCCCTTAGTACATTGTACCTTTTTGTTTCCTTACAGCATGTATCACAACTCTCTCAAAAATCACAATGTTGAATTTAGGGTATTATATCGGGAAAGTGAGGCTAATGACACTGTTTCCGCACATGGACTCAAAAAATTCCAGTTCAGTTCCTAGGTCAGATTTATGACTTTGAGCCAGTCACTTTATAGACAAACCTGAAGCAGAGTAGGTTAAGTGAAGGTAATACCTTCTGTGGTAGTCCTATGTGAGTAAAATTCTTTGATATTAATCTTACTTTCAGATATTACCATAACGAAACCCTCAGAATTGCTTAGACACAGATGTACCATTTTGAAGAAGTGCACATTTTGTGACTTGGCAGGAATAATTCAGCCTGATTTTTCCGTGATCAGTGCCCTTATTGCAGATTGCCTTTCTGAGATTTTCAAATCCGAGATTTAGAGAAAAGCAAGGAGACTAACCAGGAGTTTTGGCTTCTGTTCAGCTGAGAGAACTGTGAAGTTGACAGTGGATCGGAACATCACTAGCAAGATGGAAAGAACAAAGACAACAAGCTCCTGGCGATTCTCCTGCAGAATTCCTCTAGTCACGTAGTATACGCAGAACACTGAAAAGGAGAAAGAAAGGTCAGTTACCAAGTGAACACAGATGGCATATGGTGCAATTTTTCAATGTGCTTGATCCAGATGACAAAATGGTAGTATCAAGACCACATAACTTAGTTTCCTCAGTCAAGAACATATCCTTATTCTTACCAAGGAGCCTAAATCAGATACTTCAGATCAGATGCCGTGAGAACCCTCCCCTGTGCTTAACACAAAATAAATTAAATAACTGGTTAGAATTGGGGATTACTTGTGAAGTGATACCTTGAAAATAGCAACATATTAACTCAAAATTAACTGGCAGCTGCACTGTATTTGATTATATTATCTGAATATTATATTAAACAATATATTGAATAGTGTATTTGAATTAAATGAATATACTGAAATATTTGAATTAAGTGAAGCAACATTGTTTTTGTTAAAGAAAACATCTGAAATTACATAATCTTCCCAGCGAGAGTAATTCAAGTGATTAGCAAGGAATTTACCACTCATACACATACCTCTACAGTATTGTTTGTGTGGCTCCAACCACTAGAAAGGGGGAGTGTGTTGAATTAAGACATTAGACAGATTAGATTCCTAACAGTTTATTTTTGTGCTGAATTTTTCAACCCTTCCCCCTCCTTCCAACCTATAGTCCAGAAAGGAGTGGGTTTGGGAAAGTTCTGAGGTTATATTGTTATGAAATATGTCCAAAAGCAGCACACTTAATAATGTCATTAGCTGTCAGTGTTCATCTCTGCACATCTGTTTTGACAAAGCTTAAATAAGAAAAAGGCTTTCCTTTCATAAGAACAGGAGTCAGCTCTTTGTGCCTATATATGATGCTCCTCCAAACACTAATTCATTCTTACTTTAGACAAAATACCAATACATTTCTTTTCCCATAGTGCTACTTTCTGGATTCTGCGTATCAAGTAATGTATTTTTTCTAAGGGCATGTGGACAAAGTGTCACAAAAGTTCACAAAGTTACATAATGACTTCAGTTTCTCTAAAGAAGCTGTCTAGTCAATGAACTTCCTTTTTCACTTCTATTTACAGTAATTGAGACAACTGGAAATGATTAGCAAATTAAGAAGTGAATCATATGATTTTTTTTGCATGCTTATGACCTTAGGAAATCCTGAAAGATTTAAGACAGTACTTGTTTTGCAATTTCAGCTGCTAGAACAGAATAAGTCTCTACAAAGCATTTGCAAGCAGATTTGTTTTCTGCGCGTTATTTTTTTGCAGATAGCATATGCACATTTCTGAACTGTTCTACGTGACACCATATGTTTACTGAACCTTCTCCTAAAATACTACTGGAAAAAACAATAATGGCAAAAACATCTAGCTAAAGTAGCAGAAGATTCTGTGTATAATATATCATGTCAGATGGAGTGAAATAAGAAACATTGGTTGCTCCTTAATTACTAATTTGGGGAAGAACATATTTGTCTTCAAATACAAATCGTATGTGTCTTACCAACTCCAACTAACTGTATAAAAGAAATGGTGAAATCTTCCTCAGTTTGTTGAGTGAGCGTCTCTATGGTGAGCCCTATTACACTCAGCAGAGACAAAATAGTCACACAGAAGTAGATCTTGACAGGAAATGATAGCTCTGAACAAGGCTTTATCTGTAAAGAAAGAAAATGTTTTAAACTCATAATCTGCTATAAACTAGTTGCTCTTCTGTAAGAAATGCATTACAGCAATTTGGTTAAATGTCACTTACACTTTCCACTACAAGGCTGGCCTTGCAAAAAAGGAAGGGAAACTCTTTACAGTAGAATAGCAAATCCAAAACTCTTTAGGAAGGGAGAAATCTAACTTTATTTGGTAAATATTCTCAGCCTAGATTTTCCAGTTTATACCTATAGACTGCATTCCACTTTTCACTGCGCCTCACAAAGGGTAGAATATTGTAATTGCATCTCCTGAAAACAAGTTTTTCAATGCCTACAAATATGCCTGTCAAAACACAGCAAGTGACGTTCAGCAAGTAACTTCTCCCACTAACCATTCATGTAGTCAGCCTTATCAGGATTTTCAGCTCTAGAAAATCTTAAAGAAAGGTTTACACTTCCAAGCAACGCACACAGGATTTGAGTGAGATTTATTTTTTCCATTTATCCCAGGCAGCATAAACCCAGGAGACAGCTGAACTACTGATAAACTGCACCATGCTAACAAAAATACTTTATTTTCCTATGGTGTCAGCAGTAAAGAAAAAAAGCATCATCAAAAGGTCTGTGGAGCTGGAGAGTCACCTGGAGTCAAGGCTTGGCTATGACGTGGTTGCTGCATGACAGAGCTGTTTAGTGATTTCCTCCTGCTGACCATGATTTTAATATATACTGGAAATATTTCTTATGGTTTTATTATATAAAGTAACTTTTGATGAATTACATATTCTCTGTTTGAAAATAAGGTTTTATTTAAACAAAACCAAACAAATGAAAACAATCGAGCACCTGAATGAAAGTGCTTTTTGAATTGCGGCTAGGCTGGCAGTGACTAATTCAAGTTTTCTAGCGAGTTTTATTTAATAATAGGTTTGCTTAAAAAATCAATTGTATTGAATAAACAGCCATAAAATCTGAACACACACTAAGCAGTTATAATAAAACGACTAGCTAAAAAGTTCTAGTAAAACCACGTTTAAAATAATCACCCGTGATCCACTGTCCTCGGGGTTTCACAAAGTTACGCAAGCACAATTAATGCCAGAAAAGTTAAGGGTACGCGAGTAACCAGGCTGTGCTTTTTCTGAACCATGCCATTTGTAGTAGCGGAGGAACAACAGTAAGGCGGCAACTATCTAGTCACGTCTAAACATTACACAGTTTCAAAGGGGCAGGTCGAAAGAAACTCGGTTCGCCAATTCCTCCGCTTTGCGTCTTCAGACATCGCGGTAAGAGGAGAGACCCTAGCCGGCCCCCGCTTCCTGCGGGCGGTACGAGCAGCGCACGCCGACGGTGCCTTCAGCGACAACTCGCTGGAGAGAGCGAGGAAACGCTTTCCTGGGCGCGGCCCCGCCCCTCCGCCCGGCGGCG